AAGAAAGAAAGAAAGAAAGGAAGGAAGGAAGGAAGGAAGGAAGGAAGGAAGGAAGGAAGGAAGGAAGGAAGGAAGGAAGGAAGGAAGGAAAGAAAAAGTAATTACTATCTAAAAGTATTATGTTAGCCCTTCCTTTTCCAGGTTCCTTGGCTAGAGTAAGCAAGAGTTTAGAAGACTATTGTCTGCATAATATGGCTTTTGGGTTGCTGCTTTTTCTAGTACCCAGGCTGGGATATATTAGACAAAAACAAATGTATAGAACTCATCACCTTGTTGTTTCTTATGACTTAAGATCATATCTGTTCTTCTTCCTCTCTGTTCCTTTCAATGTAATGAGTCCCACCAGCCAGCTCCCAAATCATGACATAGAGACTTCTTATTAATTATGAAAGCTTGGCCTATATCTTAGGCTTGTTCCTAACTAGTTCTTATAACTTAAGTTAACCCGTTTCTATTCATCTACCTCCTGCCACATGGCTTGTGGCTGTTACCTCTTCTCCTGCATGTCCTGCTTCCTCTGTGTCTCTCAGCATCTCTGCCTTCTTCCAGCGTTTTCTCTGCCCTGAAAATTCTGCCCAGCTATTGGCCATTTTGTTTTTTATTGAACCAATTAGAAAGATTATCCCACAACATTTCATAGTATTATTATGTTTGTTTTGCACATAATATCTGGGGTTTTAGTTGTAGTTAATATAAAGAATATAAATATGTGTGTTTGTATTACCTTCTCAAAAATCAATGTCAGATAATTTTTATGCCTGGAATTTTTTTTGAAAAAGTAACAAAACTAAAGTAATACAAACACCATGGAATATATAAACTGTTAAGAATTTAAAATTGAAACACTAAAAATGCTTGTGTATTATCTGCTGAGTATAAAATCATTTACATTCACCACCATCAACTTTATGTCTTTACTCGTGTTCTTTTCAACATAAAAACAGGGCTGCCACCTCTTCTATAACGACAAACCAACAGGGACAATTAGTCCCTTATCTCATTAATGAGGCAAGCCTTCCTCATTTGCAGAAACCTCTTTTCTCTTTTCCACAGCACACTCCTTAGTTATTTCTATGTAGATTGGGATCCTTATTTTAAGAGGGTGCACGCACGTGTGCGCACACACACAATCTAACAAGTAAGCCTTCCCTCTTTAATGCTATCTGGCTTTCTTCAATACTATACAATATAGCTACCTAGTTTGTGACTTTTATAGTATATGCTAGGTGGAATATATAAGAATAGAATTATTATATGAGCGAGAATTGTTGAAACCAAGGTTGGATAAAGCACAGGGATAAATAGCCAAATGAACGGAAACACATGAACTATGAACCAAAGGCTGAGGGGCCCCCAACTGGATCAGGCCCTCTGAATAGTTGAGACAGTTGATTGGCTTGATCTGTTTGGGAGGCATCTAGGCAGTGGGACCAGGTCCTGTGCTCATTGCATGAGTTGGCTGTTTGAAACCTGGGGCTTATGCAGGGACGCTTGGCTCAGTCTGGGAGGAGGGGACTGGACCTGCCTGGACTGAGTCTACCAGGTTGATCTCAGTCCTTGGGGGAGGCTTTGCCCTGGAGGAGGTGGGAATGGGGGATGGGGTGAGGGAAAGGGGAGGGGGGCAGGAGGGGGGAGAACAAGGGAATCCGTGGCTGATATGTAGAACTGAATGGTATTGTAAAATAAAATAAAAGGAAAAAAATAAGAAGAGCTTCCACCCACACAGCTCAAAAAAAAAAAAAAAAAGAATAGAATTAGCTACATGAAAACTAAACTTTTCCACACAGGAAAGTGTAAAGCTTTTCCAAGACTTCAGAGAGGCAGATAAAAGAGAAGTTGTATGTCGGGGGAGAGAGGAAAAACCGGAAGACTAGAACCTAAAAAGACTTGGGGAGGAAGCATATCCAAGGTAGTTTCTGTTGTGAAATTCTAATGGAATGGACTCACCAATACCTTGAAGTCGTTAGTAAAATTCAAACAGCCCACACAATTTGTGAGTGATTCTTCAGTCATTTTATTTCAACTCTTGTTCATCGAGTAATTTGCATTTTATATATTTAGCTTCTTTTTTTTTCCCAAGTTTCAAGGACTCTGGCTCTAGCCATACCAGAGAGTACTACAAGGCTAGGCCTCTGGCTTCTTCAGAACTCGAGAGTACTGGAAGACCAGGCCTCTGGCTCCAGTGAGATCAGAGAGCAAAGGGATGACCAAGCCTCTGACTTTCCCAGGAGCAGAGAGCAGCTGGCCTTCAGGTCTCTGCTTCTGTGGAACCAGAAGCAGTGTATGACTAGGCTTCTGGCTTCTACAGGACCACAGAGCACAGTGTGTCCACATATCTGGCTTCTGCAGGACCACAGAACACAGTGTGTCCACATATCTGGCTTCTGCAGGACCACAGGGCACAGTGTGTCCACATATCTGGCTTCTACAGGACCACAGAGCACAGTGTGTCCACATATCTGGCTTCTTTGGCACCAGAAAGAACCCCACAACAAGGTCTGCATCCCAGTGACCTCAGAGATAAATACAGATAAACCTAAGCTTTGGCACCGAGTGTGCCCAGGGTTTCCCGAGAGACTAGGGCTTTGGTTCCAGTAGTCTCTAAGGTCAGTGTGGATGTGGGTTTCTGACTTCTGAGATTCCAGTGCTCATTGCAGGATCCAGAGTCTATATGACTGTGGCCTCAGAGGTTACTTTGAGTTCATGGCTCTATCCACAGCCCACTGATAGTAGTCAGACTACTTTGGTGGGTCCAATGTTTGGTATCTCCCCCTTCCCCCCCTCCCCGCTCCCCGCATGTTCACAAAATCCAGAGGGTCACAAAGGTTTTCACTGTACCATGTTACCTTGCTGCTCAGCCTGCAGCCCCACCCTTGGTCCTGTTGGCACACTGACAAGTTCAGATCACATCAGTGACTGCATTTGACAATCAACACCAAGTTTCACCAGTCCCCGTAGCTAAACTTCAGGCAGATATACCTCTAGGACAGAGTACAGAAAACAAAATATCCAAATGGGATTGGACAAGGGGAAGTTAAAACTGAAAAACAAACCCACTATAATATGTGCAAAACACAGCAAAGAATATGATACAACCACCAAATGTTATCATCAGCCAGCCAACTCCCCTAAAAGGAAATCTAAAATTACAAAGATAGCAGAAATATCTGAGAAAAACTTCAGTCTTACTTTTTGAAAAGAATTAATGATCATATAGAAGATTCAAACAAAAAGATGCAGAACGTATGGAAACTCGCCCTAGGCCTCTACAAGACAGTCTCCAAAGTGAATGTCACAGTTAGTAAATTAGAGGCAAAAGTATGGGGGTGGGGTGAAGCAAGGATATTGAAACATTTCAAAACACTCAAACAGAAATACTTGGAACCAGGTGGACAATCAAATAAAATAGCAATACATGCCATCATCAACAGGCAAGACCATGGAGAAGAATTCATTTCAAGGATGGAGGACGAATTTGAGACAATAATACAAAGAGATGCATACAAGAGGGAAAAATGAAAGCATGTGAGCGACGTTTCCTCAATTCTGGGATATGCTCCAGAGGTTAAACCTGAAAATTAATGGTGTAGAAGAGCAGAGGCAGATCAAATGTCATAGATAGACAGTGGGGAAAAAGCATAGCAGAACATTGCTCAAGCTTAGAGAATGAAGGAGCCATCTAAATACAAGGAGTATGCAGAACTGCAAACAGACATGATCAGAGAAGAAACTCCTCAGGACAGATCACAGACAAAATGTTAAAAAAAAAAAAAAAGTGGGTTCCTTTGAGACTTGGCCACTATTCCTGGTGTGAACCAAGGGTCTCCCTAGTTTTTTCTCACCACCTGCCTCAGACATTCCTCCCAGCCCATTTCCAGTCTTCTGTGATTCCCCACCAAACAAAGAACACTCTCAAGTGTTCCCATAGGCCACAACAAGGATCCCATAGCCTTGGCTGGGACCTAGGTAGGCTGGCTACCTGTGCCCTCCTTCCCCTCCTCCATTCTGGTCTCTCTTGGGTAGCCCTAGGTCAGTTGCTACTGCATATCTCAGCCCCCTTTTCCAACCCACCTCCATTCCCTGGGGACTCCTGCCATCTGTAGTTATATCCAGGGTGCCCCTACTTCTGTGTCAGCCACCCTTCGTGAAGCTGGAGCCTAAGTCCTGTTTAAGAGACCTCCAGAGTCAGCCCCTTTCCCCTGCGTGCTGGCTTATCTATCACCTACCTAACCCACTGTACCGACCTGAAACTGCTTGAGGGTATGAGACCTGCAACCCAGAGTGGCCACAAGATGGAAAACTAGTCATCATTCTGCTGAGCCACAACACACCAAA